CAAACATTGATGAATTGAAAAGTAGTAATAGTTTATTTCCCCAAAACAATACATATTTATTACAAAGAAAAGAATCAATACTTTGTATTAAGAAAGTCTGGTGGACACTACGTTATGTGATTAAGTTTAATATTACTAGAAAATTCACTCAATATCACAAAGCCTGTGTTATGATGAAAGAGGTATAGATATCACTTTACTGGAACTCTTCTCAGAAATTAACATCTTCAATTTAATAATGATAAAAGCAAGGGCAAGTTTCATTTGAAGGATATTTGATAAAATATTTGACTTGTGCTCTTGGAAAGTATCAGTCATGAAAGAAAACAATATGGGGTCGATCTCAGAAGACTAAGAAGACATGACACTAACTGCAAAATGGTATCCTAGACTGGATTTTGGAACAGAAAAGACTTTAGAGGAAAAAACAGTAAAATTAAATAAAGTCTGTATGTTAACTTCTTATTGTTAATAAGTGTACTGTGATTATCTAAGATGTCAATATTAGTGAAGCAGGGTGAGACATATGTACAAGCTCTATCAGTCTAGAAGTATCTAAATCAAACATTAAAAATATTTGACTGTGAGTATAGAGGAAATTATGGATTTAATTGAGCAATCAGGTAATAAATGCCTACTTCTTCTATAACATAGTTAACCATAGTCCCTATGGTACAGTCCTAGGAAAATGTGTTTTTTTCCTTCTCCTGTAAGAATGTGTCTTGGAGCCAGCAGGTGGCATGGTGGTTAATGGCGCCGGATTACCACATGGCTGACTGAGGTTTGAGACCTGGCAGTTTGTTTTCTCACTTTCTCTCTCTCTCTCAATCTGTCCCTCTCTGGTCACATTAAAAAATAAATAAATAAATAAATAAAAATTAAAATAAGTCTTTAATAAAAGAAGAAGGTCTTCTTTCACCATTTTTCTTTTATATAAATATATACACACACACACACATATGTATGTGAGACTGTAACAACTACATTAGAAGAACTTATAGACAAAATCACAAAATTCTTCTTTGATAGTGTGCGGCAAATGATCTCAAATACTTTGAAAATTCACTTGTATGGGTGAATATAATCTTAATAAACTAGAATCTGTTCAGAAGGGTACTCTAAAAAGCTGATTCAAAAGAAACAAATGAACAAAAAATCAGGAGATAATAATGTGAATTCAATGTTGGGACATACTGACTTCTCCGTTGGGCATTAAACGGAGAACATGTGTTTGATTTTTACTTTAGGATTTTTGTTCCTTTTTCTAGACAGCCTACTACTTCTCAGCCATTGACCACAATTAAAAATCACTGAATGCCTGTGTTAAAAGTAAGGATATCTCTGATTGTTACCATGGGTGGTCATATAATTTCAACATATATTAGCAGCATTAAATCAGAGTAGGAAATATCTCTTCTCTTTGAAAAGAGTACTATCTGAGAAGCCCAGAAAAAGGCAGTGATTATCTTGGATTCTTTAAGATTCAATGCTTGCATAATGTTTTAGGGAAAAAAAAAAGTCTATACCTGCTTATAAAATCAAAATAAACATGATTTTTTGTGACATAGGTACATATTGGAATACTGCTCAGTCATAAAGAACAGAATCCTGTCTTTTGACACAAAGGGGACACCTTAAATATATAAAGTTAAGTATAGTTAGCCAGGCTGTGAAAGACAAATGCTGTTGAGTCCCCATTTAACATACATGGAACATCTGCACTCTGAGGGAGACACTGAAGCACTCAATGGCATAGAAGTAGAGGGAGTAAAAAGGGTAATGGTAGGTCCCAGAAGCTCTTAGAGGCAGTGGAGGTTGGAGGTTCAGGAGAAAATAAGCACTAGACACAAGAATGCATGTAAACAAGTGGGATAGTTTTTTTTTTTTTTTAATTTTTATTATCATCATAATCTTATTTGTATTACATTGGATTACATGTAACTTTACAGTGTATTACATTGCTTTTTCAAAAGGGAATGCCATGCGGGGAACCAGCAGTTAGCGTAATGGCTATGTCGCTGGACTCCCACAGTAGTCGACCGCGGTTCACGTCCTGGACCCGGTGGCTTAAAACTCACGCCGGGCACGTGTGCGTGTGTGCCCAAGATCCCGAGAGGAGAATGGAGGAGAAGGGATTGCGGTGTGACCTTCCCCCCTGGGGGGTGACTTCTCGCTTTCTGTCTCTATGTCTCTCTTTGTCTGTCTGGTGAGCTCATGCGCCCTATAGCGAAAACCTCTCCAAAAAAAGGAATGCCATGCATGTCAGTCAATACAGAGACATTATTCTCCCCGCTTCATCATAGGTTTTATTTAGAAGCATACATCACAGCAAACATGTCAGTGACTATTAAATTTATAGTTCCTAAAACACAGACAAAAAACAACCAAGCACAGTAAAACTATGACTGAATGTGTGCAACATTACATGATGTTCAATGATGATGAGAATGGACATCTACAAAATATCTTTCATTTGACTCTTACACACTATACGTGTGCTTTGTAAAACCATACTGTAACCCACAAAGATGTATGACTACTTGTAAACCAGGGATCATAATTTCAAATTTAAAAACATGATTTTTAAAACTGTATTAATTTTATTTTTAATATGTCTGTGGCCACTTAAAGAGAAATACATTAAAGTAAGGAATATACATTTTCAATAGTTTCCATTGGAGATATATCCCAGGCAAAGTTAAAATACCTTGGAGTACAATTAAAATACAATTCTCAAAGGATCAAAGATGCTAATTGACTAGTCATCTTATGAGATGACTTTAAGAGCTTAAGGAAGAGATGTTGGTATAAGAAGACTGTCAAAAACACCAGATTTCAGAGTAAAATCTTTTCGTGGGACTCCTTTAAAAATACACAAAGTACAGAACTAATCCTTACTATAACTCTTGGTTTGCAATTAATGGCTTTTAAATACCAAAAAGGTACATTAAATAAATATTTAGTTATTTTGGCTCCTAATTTTATCTTATCATTGGAAGGTTTTATAGATATACAGTATCTCTAATACTATCATGAAAAAGTACCAGTATATTTTATTAACAACATAATATACATTATTCTAGAAATGGGGTCCTGTGTTAAATAAGCCATCATATTGATAGTATAGGGACTCAAAATAATAGATGATGCAAATTTAATATGACAAGTGGAGGAGAGCTAAAATGTATGGGGATTCCTTTGGATAACTGAAACCAAGGTAAGTTTAATTCTCCTTTCTTCTTTCTATAGCTCACATGTGTGTGTTTCTCACATTGAGACATACTTTCTTTTTTTTTTTTTTAAACTCTGTATTTTCCAGGCTTTAAGAAAAGTGGCTTCAATGACAGGCAGGACAAAATGCCTTCACTAAACACTTATTAAATAACTGACCAGAAAAATAGAAACTTTTGTGAACGTGGAGCACACTGAATAATTAAGTATATTCAATATAATTATCAAGTCTCTTTTGGTTATTAAAGTAGACTGTTAAATGTCTAAACAAATCTTGTTTAATTATGCATGTCAGTTTCTATTGTATTTATTTATCAAATATTGAAGTCAATTGAATTAGACAATAAGTTATCTAATTTATAGAGAAATCACCTCATAATTTAATTCTTCGTTCTAAATAAACAAATTGGATTTATTCTTCTAATTTTTTAGCCTGTTTACTTTGACTTGAAAACTATTGTTTGACAATGACTTGACTTTTACCTGCTGTCTTAGATAGCTATGTGCTTTTTATTGGTAACAATTGTATTTTATTAATGACATACATAAAACAATTTGAAATATGTTATATATTAAGTTTTTTACTTGGTCTTAGTTCAGGAAGAGAGAAGGGCATGTTATAGGAAAAATAAGTTTAAGAGATTTTAGCATTAACATGTATAGTAAGGAGGATGTTTCTAGTTTTTGTTCTTTTATTTTTTTCATAACAAAATTGAGGAACTGTTTATTGAGTCACAAAAAATATTGGAGGTGTCCATCTGAGGTATTATTAAACTCCTAAAATAACCCTGTAATACAACTGTTAGATGTTAGGAAAATAAGACTTCCACAGAAAAGCATGAAAAATTTAGGGAACCAGCAGTTAGCATAATGGCTATGTCGCTGGACTCCCACGTAGTTGATCGCAGTTCGTGTCCTGGACCCGGTGGCTTAAAACTCACGCCGGGCGCGTGTGTGTGTGCATGCCCAAGATCCCGAGAGGAGAATGGAGGAGAAGGGATTGTGGCGTGACCATCCCCCCTGGGGGGTGATTTCTCGCTTTCTGTCTCTCTGTCTCTCTCTGTCTGTCTGACGAGTGCATGCGCCCTATAGTGAAAATCTCTCCAAAAAAAAAAATTACAAAAATGAATTATTTTTTAAAAATGAGTTTTATAATAATGATCAGCAAATAGCATAATGGTAACATCACTGGACTTCCACATAGTTGGCCGCCATTCAAACCCCAGATACGGCAGATTAAATCTCATTCTGGGAGCATGTGCATGTGTACCCAAGATCCTGAAAGGAAAATGGAGGAGAAGGGATTGCAGTACAGCCATCCCTCCTGTGGGACGATTTCTCATTTTCTGTCTCTCTGTCTATCCCTGTCTCTACGGAGAGCACAAAAATTTAAAAAAAAAGAATCATATTTTTCTAAGAGTATTGTATAATTAAGTTACTTAGATAAACTGCTAAGCATATAATGATGGGTCCCATGATAGGCTGGGATAGAGTATGGTGTATTTCAGGAGCGATCTCTTCAAATCATCCCAAACAGCCATTTTTTCACACAACTGTGAATTTGGATTCTTTATTAGTGTCTCTTGATTCTGCACATAATAAAAACAGTATATAAATTCTCAATTTGAAGTCTTCAAATTTTACTTTCCATCTGTTTCTCTCTTGTCAGAGTGAAAGTTAACTCAGATTATCTGGGCTTTACATTTGAATCTTTTCCTAATTTTTCATTATTGTTACCCAGCAGGTAAGTCCAGGCTGGAGTTGATAAAATGGCTGGTAATAATTTCACCGAGGTGACTCTCTTCATTCTCTCTGGATTTGCAAATCATCCTGAATTACAAGTCAGTCTTTTCTTGATATTTCTCTTCATTTACCTACTCACTGTTTTGGGGAACCTTGGACTAATCACGTTGATCAGAAGTGACTCTCGGCTTCATACACCTATGTACTTCTTCCTTAGCAATTTAGCATTCATTGACATATTTTATTCCTCTACTGTAACACCCAAGGCACTGGTAAATTTCCAATCCAACCAGAAATCCATCTCTTTTGTTGGCTGCTTTGTTCAAATGTACTTTTTTGTTGGGTTGGTGTGCAGTGAGTGTTTTCTTCTGGGATCAATGGCCTATGATCGCTATGTCGCAATCTGCAATCCCTTATTGTATTCCTTAGTGATGTCTCAGAAAGTGTGCAATTGGCTGGCAGTAATGCCCTATGTGATAGGCTTCACAAATTCTCTGATATCAATCTGTGTGATAAGCAGTTTGAGGTTCTGTGATTCGAACATCAATCATTTTTTCTGTGACACCACGGCTCTTTTGGCTTTGTCTTGTGTGGATGCCTTCAGCACAGAAATGGTGATCTTTGTCTTAGCTGGGTTCACTCTTCTTAGTTCCCTTCTTATCATCACAGTCACTTATGTTGCCATCATTTCAGCCATCCTGAGCATTCGGTCTGCCTCAGGCAGGCAGAAGGCCTTCTCCACCTGTGCATCTCACCTCACAGGTGTAACTGTCTTTTATGGATCCCTGATTTTTACGTATTTACAGCCTGATAACACATCTTCCCTGACCCAAGCACAGGTGGCATCTGTATTCTATACCATTGTCATCCCAATGCTGAATCCACTGATTTATAGTTTAAGGAACAAAGATGTGAAGAATGCTCTTCTTCACATCATGCAAAGAAAACCTTTTTCATGATAAATCCATGCATGTTACAATTACAACAAACCTGGATAGTGTCGGGCATTCAATTACTTCAATAATTAGACAATAAACACAAAAGGCATACACTACCTAACTTAAAACTTTGAAATATGGAATGTAAATTATTATTTTATTCATTTGTATAAACTACTGAATCACTATAGCAAAGAAGTCATTTCAGCATATAAATTATTTAGACAGAGAAATGCACAAAAAAGTAAAGGGGGATCTGAAAATCTATATGTGAGCATGCCACACACAGAAATGTGTTTAAAATTATTACACTGAAACTTCATATGGTTTAACATTGTTTTCTCCACTATTAGCACATCAAGAGTATAGAACTAAGAGATTCAAAAATTAAAAACACTAATATTTTACTAACTATAAGAAATGACAACTGGTCTCCTGAAAATAGACAATACAGATGTAAAATCCTCAAATATTAGCGACAAAGAAAAACACAAATCGGGCTCATTTCAGTGAAAACAATAATGAGACAACAGATATCAGGTAATTTAGAGACATCTCTTGAAACTGTGGAGTCATTTGTCCATAACAGCTACATTTTCTATTATTTTACTGAAAAACATATTTTTGATTATATAGGAAAGTAATTTGTTTATGGGTATGTTTTCAAAACCAACATTGAATAATTTCCTAATAATCATAACGTGTCTCCTTAAATTCAAAGACCTGATAAATGATCATTTATCTGTATATGAGTATATGTGTGTATAGATTAATGTCACTAATTGTAGCATAATTCCTAGAACATTTTGGAGATATACAGTATAAAGATTCTACCATTTCCATAACAGATGGAAAGACTTTGTCAGAGAAGCTGTGAATGAATCTATGTGTATGTATGTCTGTTCATTTTTTGCTTGAATGAGACTTGAATATAGATCTGCTTGCAATTAACTCTCCTAGACATTGTTACAAAATAATCATTGGAAAAGACACATCCTCTCAATACTGCCTTTCCTGTGGGTAAGTCATTGAGTACTAATATTTAGGATATCATATACTATAAAAATGCATATCTAAAGGTATTAAAGATTACTTTTTTATTTAATTTTTTATTTCAAATCATTTTATACATTCAATCACATTGTTTAGCTTACAAAGTGAATATTTCAACATGAGAGCATTTCAACATTTTCCAGGACTTGAATCGCAGTCATTGGCCATGTGAGATCCAGCACCTTAACCTTCACACCACCTGCCAGCACTTGAAGATTATTTTGAAAAGTTTATTTTAAAAGAAAATGTGTCAGGGCCAGCAGGTGGAGTAGTGGCTAAGGCAATGGATTTCCACATAATCAATCTCTGTTGGTTCCCAGCCCCAGTTGTTTGAAAATCATCCTAGATGCATGTATGCCAAAAAAACCCCAAAAAACAAAAAAACAGGAAGAGAATGAACAAGAAGGGATTGCTGCATGACTATCCCTGGTGCAGGAGTAGGGGAGGAGAGTGATTTTTCAGTTTTCATCTCACTGTTTCTCTATCTCTCTGACAAGCACATGCACCCTATGACCAAAACCTTAAAAAAGATAGAGAGAAAGTTTCTCTATTAAAATATTCCTCTCCAACAAGATTGCAGATTCTGAAAGAAATGTTTGCTTATTCATATTTGTGCTCTTCACAATATCTAACAAATATATCAGTATGATATTATATGTAATACATAAATATTTTATTTTGTTTCTGTTTCTCAAAAAAGTGTGATGAATTCAGTAAATCAAAGACTCTATCATACTCATATTTGTACATTTCCCTGGGATTTGGACAGTAGTATAGATACCGTTATTCTAAATAACGTTAATTTAGAGACCAGCTCAGTCCTACATAAGTGAAGCTAGATCCACATGAAGATTGCAAGCCAAGCTAGATCCACATGAAGATTGCAAGCCATTTGGTTTCTGGTTCACATGCACATGCCAAGCAAGTCATGATCCCATCAGCTTTGCTGGCGTGGAATTGTGAAGTGAGACCCTGTTGAGGATACTTGTCTTCCTGTCTTTTTTATAAAAGATCATGACATTCATTGTGCTTCTTTCTTTGAGAATATTTGAATCTTGTCTCAATGCTCAAAACGGTTCAGAAATACAGATTTTGATAGCAAAACGACATTAGTCATGAGCTCTTGTGAGATAATTCATTGGCTTTATTTTCTAGAGTTAGACAGTTGGAGTGGGTATAAAAAAAGATGGGGTGTTTAAAATCTTCCTTTCTTAGAAATGTACTTGCTAGTTATGTAGATATGGTTGTATTAGATGTTCTCTATCATTTAATAATAAACTTGCAAATAAAGATATAAGTGCTGTATAAAATCAGTCAATTATGTTAAGTTAGCATTATCTGCCTTTATTTTGTTATTAGCCTGAATAGAAAAGCCTTTACAATGAGTTTTTTTAAGAAAGTATTTGAATGCATTTTGTTTAGTATTGAATTTATTCAATAAAGTATTAATGTTAAGTGTGAACTGGATCCTGTTGCTGAACCCCAGCAAGCAATCATATCCTAGGTAGGGTGAAACCTGCAGTAAAATTGCCATATTGCACGTCTTACTCAAGTTTGAATGTCAAATAAATTGTATATCCACTTAAAAAAAAAGAAAGAAACTTAAAAAATATTTTAATGGATCAGTAGATGGCAAAGCAGTTACATCACTGGAGTTTCACATGGCCAAAAGTGGTTTGAGTCCTGTACCTGGCAGTTGAAACTAACATAGGATGCATGTACATGCATGCTTAAGATCGCAGGAAGAGAATGGAGGAGAAGGCATAGTGGTGTGGCCATCCCCTTGGGGGGTAATTTCTCACTTTCCCTCTCACTGCGTCTGCTGTCTCCCACTCTCTCCAGTGAGTGCACGAACCCTAAGGCAAAAACTCCTTAAAAAAAGAAAAAGAAAGAAAAAGAAAAAAGTAGTTTTCTAAATGTAAGATTAGTTAAAATTTTTATTTCTAGAATTTTTACTCAAACATTCCTTTATTTTTGTTTTTATTTTTTTCAAGTATTTTCATACCAATGTGGACTCAGGGTTATTTATTTTATTTTTCTGACAATAATCCATTACTTTTTAATTCATTTAATTGCATAAGTTGTTTCAACTTTGGCTACTAGGAGCTCCTTCAGTTGCCTTTTTTTTAGAGAGAGGTTTTTGTTATAGGACATATGTACTTGCCAGAGACAGAGAGACAAAAGCAAGAAATCACCCTGGAAGGATGGCCATGCTATAATCCCTTCTTCATTTTCCTCTCAGGATCTTATGCATGCATGCACATATGCCCAGCATATTTTAAGTTGCTGGGTTGGGGATTTGAACTATGGATGACTATGTGGGAGTTCAGTGACATAACCACTACACCATCTGCTTGTCCCTCAAGTTGCCTTTTTTATCCCTTCTACATGCTCATATAATTCTTAGCATTTCCCAGAGAGACAGAGATATAGTAAGAGGGAAAGTGACAAATCACACCCTGGAGAAATGGTTATGCCACTGTCCCTTTTCTTCTATTCTACTCCTGGGATTTGGGGCAGTCATAGAGGCCTAGCATGATTTTTAAGTCATCAGGTCCAGGACTTGAACTGAGGTCGACCATGTGGGATTCCAGCACCTTCACTATTACATCATCTACTGGCCCCCAAGGCACAGCTAGTCAAATGTGATTCTGGGGGAGACAATGACAATGTTAATCAGCCTAACAATAACCCACACTCTTTAGGCTAACTTGCAAATATGGAAGTACATACACAAGAAGTATTTTGTGCAAAAAAAAAAAAAAAAGAAAAAAAAGAAATACACTGGAGAAATTACAGTTATAATCAGCCCTCCATTTCCACAAGTTCTGCCTTGTAAGATTTCACCAACTATGAATCAGAAGGTTTTGTGGTTTTTTTTTTCTTTAATAGCTTTACTATAAGGCACATGTGCTTGTTGGAGAGAGACACACAGAGAGAGAAAAAGAGAGAGAGGGAAAGTAAGAAATCACCTCCCAGGGGGATGACCACACACAATCCCTTCATTTCCACTTTCTTCTCAGGATTTTGGAATCACACACACATGCACACAGTGCGATTTTCAAGCCATGGGATCTGTGACTCCAATCATACCTCCAGCCATGTGGGATCTAGCTGTCTTAACATCAAAACCACCTGCTGGCCTTAATAAAAAACATTTTTAAATTTTTAAACTTTTTTTTTTTTCCATAGGGCACATGCACTAGTGAAATAGAACAGACAGATGTGGTGAGAAGGAAAGCGAGACATTGCTCCCCTCAGGAGTAATAGCCATGCTGTAATCCCCTCTCCTTCACTCTTTTGTGATTTTAGGCATGCACACACATGCTATCAGCATGATTTTCAAGTGACCAGGTCCGGAACTCAAACCACAGTCAGCCATGTGGAAATCCAGCACTGTAACCACTATGCCATCTAATATCCCCTCAAAAGTATTTTTTAAAAGTTGCAGAAGGTAGGACTGGCAGATGGAGTAATGGTTTCATTACTGGACTCCCACATAGTAGACTGAAGTTCAAGTCACAGACCTGGCAGCTTAAAATTCACCCTGGGTTCATGTGCAAGTGCACCCAAAATCCTGAGAGAAGAATAGAAGAGACCGTGGTGGGCTATATCCTCCAGGGGGTGATTTCTCACTTTCTGTCTACCTGTCTTTCTGGAGAGCATGGGACCTATAGCAAAATCTCTCTTATAAAAAAATGTTATGGAAAGTGTGGGCAGCATAGTTATCTCTATTTGCAGAATATATGATGCTATACATAGAAAATCCAAAAGAATCCCCCTAAAATCTCCTGGAAGTGATAAATGAATATACTTAAGTTACAGGATAAAAAATCAACATATAAAAATCTATAGAATTTTTATACATCAACAATGGATAAACTATTATAGAACTAAAGAATGTAATCACATTTACAATAGCCACAAAACCAATAAGATATCTAGGAATAAACCTTACCAAAGATGTC